ACATTCGACTGTGATTGGTCAATTTCTTACTCTTACTTCTTACTCCGTGTATTGTAGACGGCCCTTAATATGTTCATTAGTTTCCGCGTCCCATTTTGCTGCGCGGCAAGCGTTTCTGCGTCTAGTGAAAAAAAAATGATATATAAATGATATATTAGGGCCTTCAAAAAGTCTGGAAACGCTAAAATATCTCGAAAACGATCAACTCTAGTAAAAAATATATAAAAGCAAAATTGTAGGACTTCAAATCTACCTAACTGATGATAAAAGGTTGACCTTGGGTGGATTCTGCAAGATCATATGAAGGTCAAGTTGAATTTTTTAAACAGGACCCCCCTCTTTTTATTACATAGTCTTATAGCTTATTTCTTTTGACAAATGTTATCCAGAACATGATCCTGAACGACATTTAAGAGGTTTTAGTCGTCGATCGGACACCTTGAGTAGTGCTAATGCCGGCGTACTGTAACCTTCATGCCTTATAACTCGAAAAATACTTCATGAAAAATTATTTTATTATAGTGTTTTGGAAAGAGAGTTCTTGAGGTGTGCTATAAGAATATGCAGTGAAAAATAGGGAGTTCCATTTAAAAAATTCGACTTGATCTTCATATGACCTTGCAGACTCCATCCAAGCTCAACCTCTTATCATCAGTTAGGTAGATTTTTTGAAATCTTACAACTTTGTTTTTATATATTTTTAACTAGAGTTATCGTTTTCGAGATATTTTAGCGTTTCCAGATTTTTGGAAGAAATATATTGCAGTCAAGAAATGGGGATATATTTCTTATTTATTGGCAGAAAATTGAGCTGCACTCCGGGCAACGTTTTTACCGCAGAATGATCACTCTTTAAACATTTTTTCAAACTTAAAGATTTTAAGATTTAAGGGTTGGTGGTTTAAGCGTTTATGGCTCAAGAGTTTAGACATTAAAGGCTTAGAATTTGGAGGCTTGTGGTTCAATTTTCTGCCAATGAATAAAGAAATATATCCTCATTTTTTTACTGCAATATATTTATTAGTGTTTTCGGCCCGACCGGGTTTGCACCAACCTGGGTTGGATTAATGGCGTTTTGCGCTCTCCTATTGGTAGAGCGTGTGACATCAACCAATAGGAAAGATTAATCCAACCCAGGTTGGTGCAAACCCGATCGGGCCGAAAACGCTATATGTATATCATTGGGAGGATCCCGTTTGCCTACAGTTCTGATTGTACACACCACTCATATCAACTGGTGCCTAGTAATTTTTTACTGTTTTGCCAATGAGATTATTTTATTTTTAAATTGGCCAATCAGCGATACATGTGTGCAATATGCGATGTGTGCAATCGGAGCCCTCCCTATATCATTTACCCAGTTGTTACTAAAACTCTGAAAATTCAATTTGTCGTATCTCAGCAAAAAAAATAATATCGGATTAAAACAATATGAGTTTGAAGGTAAGAAAATTACTTTCATGTAAAATTAGTGCTAATGTTGAGAGCTGGGTATACTCTAAATACGGCAGAAACTCGAATATACCCAAAAAAAGCGTTTTTTTGCAACTTTAGATTAGAATATCTCGAAATCCTGAAGTGATGGAACAATTCTGCCAGATTTCGATTTAATGTGAAAAACTACTTAAAAAACTGCTATTCCAATTTTTGTTTCTTTTTAAGCTCTTCATTTCGCAGGCCTTGTAACCGATATTTAGTATAAGACGTTAGCAACATTTAACTGAAGAAAAGTTTGAAGCTAAACAGCGTATCAATTAATGAAGTCTAAAATTATTTTATTGTAAGTTTTTTGTCCACTGAGGATGGTTCTGTGAGAACCAAAACGTTTGGAGTATTTTATATATTGTAAAATTAAAAATTTAGTTGCACTGTCATCATGTTAAGCTCATTGCCCTTTCATAGACTATTATTTAAAATAAAACATTAATTATAAACGTCATGAAAAATATAAATATAAGTCATTAATCAAGAAAAGTATAAGATATTTATTCAATGTAAATTTTGAAAATATATATATTAGATACATTTATCATACATTGTCATATCTATAATAAGAAAAGAAAAATACTGATAATTCAATCACATAAAATGACCGTCAATAACATAGAATAACTTTAAACGAATAAAAAAAAGATACTACAAACAATCAAGAATATCATTGAGATCATTAGTCATTTTAAATTTAACATATAAATGAAAATGATATTATAAAATAACTATAATACCCACACAAAATATGTTTTGCTTTAATCTAAAAAATAACTTTATCTTCAACTCAATATTTTCGTGCATAATTTTTCTGTTTGAATCTATCAGCTAATATTCCTGTTCCCATCGTCTTACTTCCAAAAGCTGATGATATATTCTTGTTCATATTTTTGTAGCACTCAGAGTTACCAATAATTGTTTTACACGCATTGACACAAATCGAGATATTAATTTGTCCCTAATATAATGACAAATGCTTAAAGGGAGATATTTCAAAGCAGTATGAAGATAAGATATTAAACTGTCATTCAAAGTCTTGTCTAAGAGAAATAATTTGGACTTGATTTTCCATATAATTCTTTCTGCCTCTTCAAGAATATCAAACACTTCTTTACTAATTCCTATTTGAGCTCCAGGAGTATAATCTAAAATAGCTATAAAGGCAGATAAAAAGGATGGTGTAAACGTCAAATCAGAATTATCTTGCAATTTCAAGTAATAATCTTCACATTTGATGAAATTCCTCAATTTGAAAACAACATATCCACACATTCTATAAAATATTTGTTGTATAGTGCTTTGACATAGGCTCGCAACTATTTAATTTAGGGAAATCGTAATGTGCTTGTTCTTTTTCATTTAATTTAGTTAGAAATGCATTCAAAAGGGAAGATATGCTTTATTGTATGTATAACTAGAGGTAGGTATTGCGTGATTTCCTGCTATATACATATGTTAGTCTGTATTTAAACTGAAGAGCTGTTGGCATCCTTTACGTACGTTTCCAAAACCACTTTCCAAACTATCTTGACTTGCTCGTCTTGGAAAAAAGAAAAGAAACTTTCTCGTTTAAAAGACGATCTTGTAGCTGAATCATTGATTTCGTGGTAAATATTACTAGAGAGAAAGATATTACATGGGTCTGAGATGGTTTCTATAAACTTTCCAGCTTTCGTATTTTTGAAAATATGACATACTAGTTTTAGAAGTTCTATTATATCATATTTTTGAAGGTTGTGAAAATTTAAAGCATGGCGTAGGTTTCTTTCGGTTATTACGTCAAATCATTTCCTAATCAATCTGATAAACTAGATTGTTGTTTTCATTTGCGGAAGTCCATCACTTTTTTGGATTAAAAATGTTAATGCAGATGCAGTGGAATAATTTATAACTCTAGTTGAATTTGTGACTTTTATTTTACCGAAAATTTGATCGGTAAAATTTAGTCTTAACCCTTCCGTCCACTACGTTTTTTCGGCACCTTTCAGTCCACTACGGGGGTCGTTATCGTCTTGGCGTTTTTTGGACCAGTAAAAGTGCTTTAAAAAATCTGAAAAAATTCATGGAACTTCTTTCAACCTTCAACTTGAAGTCCCAATCATAATATCATAATTAGCGAGTAACAATCAGGGAGGGGATATGGCGCCTTCAGTGCCCGTTTTCAAAAGTTACAGCACTTTGAAATTTCGCTTGGGTCGAAAAAGACCCCCATAGTGGACGGAAGGGTTAATACTGTTTTGTTTAATTTAGGCACAAGTTTGATCTCCATGCAATTTTGAGACTGATATGAATTTAACCTATGGGTCACATTCAATGACCCATATTAACAACATTACTAGGTAAATTGTAGAGTTCTATAACATCTTAGTAAGTAAATAAATTGATTTTTCATAGCCATTTCTTTCAAATTTTTAAAAACATGAACACGATCTGGAATCAACTGCGGCATGACCTCTAGATCGCAAGGACGTGTTATAATGTTATATCTGCCTTGATAGTTTTAAATCCTAATTTTGTGAGCAATCCTCTATTTCCCATATCACAAACCAATACAATTACTTCCAAATCTACACGATAGCATTTTTGGAGTATTTCTAAAATAACCTTTTTAAAAAAAATTACATCATTTACTGAATAAGATGATGTAAAGTGATAAGCTACATACTGCTTCCAATGAAAACCAAGTCCAAACATTTGAAAAAGTAAAGCTTTACATGCTAATTTATTTGTATTGCCAGGCAATGTCACATTTTCAATATATGCTCCTGTACTTGTATCAAAATCAATTTGCTCTTTAATCACCATTTCATTAAATACTAGTTCCAAATAATTTTCCATGTAGGTGGAATATGAGGAACGATTAACTCCGGATATTTAAAAACATTTTTTAATATTTCAGGTTCAAATTTAATATGCTGTATCTTATTTCTTAGAGTTCTCAATGAAGGAAATGGAGCAACAAGTGCAATTATCTGATTATAACCATGTGATTCACATGCAAGTTTAATCCTTTTTTGATTGTTTCATCTGACCACTTGGAACTTCTTGTGGTATCATTTACAGTTGCTCTTTGTTGATCTCTTTATTAAAAACTATATTGATTATTTCTATATATATTTCTCGATTTTTTTTCTAAGTCATTAACTCTACTTTTTAGGCTCGCTTTCTTTTTCAGCTATTTTTAATTTTTCTTTTAGAAAATAATATTTCATATTCTTCTCGACTAGATAAACTCTCCATCAATATTTGGCTTGCAGTACATTCTGATGATATATTTATGTCTAGATTAGAATTTGATCTGTAAAATTTTCCTCTTTAGGTTATTGATATGTCTCCAATGTATTTATATCAATGGGTTTTTTCATTGTAACACAATGTGTAGTATGGACATACTTCTTACGTGACTCAAAAAGTTTTCTTTTTTTTGAAAGAGAAAAATAATTATGTTCTTGCAATTCATTAATTACATACTGTTTTCTATATCTCTTTTTTTCTGTAGCAACATATGAGTGATCACTCCTTAATTCTGTTTTTTTGTGAGGAAGAAATGATTCATTACATTGCTGTTCTGGTTGAATTTCTATAAGAGATTTCCTTTTCATAGGTTGTTGACATTTACAAAACAAAATTGGTATAGCACCTTTCCTTATAAGTTTTTTCCTACCAATGCGGAATACTTCTGATGAATGAAAATGAACCTAAGAAATAAGAGATATACATTAGAGAAAAATATATGTCCCACCAACTATCATTAACGTAACATTAATATATTATAATTTTTCACGCAATTATGTAACCGTTACATGGACTCGTATTATATTGAATTTAATGTATTGATATTGAGTGAGAAATTATAACATTGATATTTTTGTTGGTGTTTATGGGAGTTATAGTGTAAAACATTTGTATGCACGCTTCGGTATCAACCTCACACAGTACAGCTGATTTTGATGGTTTCCAATCAGGAATTCCAGCAGCATCAATCCATTTTTGTTTCAATTTAGGATCTTGGGCAAACATTGTGCAACAATATCCGTTTTTATTAGAGTTCGTGCATCTTGGAGCACTGCATGTGGTAGGCATTTTATAACTAACATGCACAAAATGTGAGTAATCCTGTTCAGATATCTGAAATTAAAATTCGTAGTTTTATTTCATGTATATATGTACAATAGAGAAAGATATATATATTTCCAAGATTAATAATATATATGTATCTCTTACAAAGACTTTATCAGTCAGTTGTAAAATTGCGGAGGAAATTGCAGTCACAAGCATGGTGTAAAAAGCAAGGCTATGTTCAGATTCCCGAGTGCCACCCAGGTATCACTCTACCTTTGTTATTTACCGAACGTTAAACAAGGATGGCATGATACTCGGAGAACCCGGGTGGGAATCTGAACATGAGCTAAGATGTAGCATTTCCAATGCTGCGCACTCGTTCAATTTCTGAGCGCCAATCAGAGCGCGACCCATTTTGCAAGCAATATGGCATCCGTCGCGTACGTCTGCTTTAAACGAGGTATCAGATTAATTAAACATAATTAAACGTTTAAACATAATTAAACATTTTAGTCGATTGTTATTTAAAAAATATGTACAAAAGAAGAAAACATTAAAAAACAGAATTTTTAATTGATAAGATAGAAAAATTGACGAATAATTCTTTTTAGATATCATATATTTATTATATATACTTACATTTCTTTTTATTAAAAAATTTCCTTTAAAAGATTTCTTTTTTTATTCAAAAGAACACGAAGAATACAAAAAATAACATACTATTACTTTAACTTTATTTATATTGATAAATAAAGATTAATAAATAATAGATATAAATAAAAATTAGAAAACAATCTGTAAACTCTCCACTTGATTCTTTTTACTTAAAAATTAATTAACAAAAATTTTTCATTTGTTAAAAAATTATTTTCTTCGCAACCTTTACAGAAATTTAATACTGACAGTTTTTAATACTGTAATAATAAATTATTTATTTCAAGTATTGAAAACAATATACTGTTCAGTGCCTTTAGTATTCTAAATAAGAAATTAATTACTATCTTTCAATAATAAGTTGGCTAATATTAGATTTCTGTAAAAAAATTTAACTATAAATTGATCAAAAATATACATAGAAGTACAAAACAGAAAAGTATTTTAAATGTTTCAAATGGCTTAGTTGAAAAATGAGAAAAATTATTAATCTTTAAAATGCATGATCATCGGGAAATAGTTCGTCAACTATATTGACGAATTGTTCGCAAACACTGTTCGATCTATTTGTAAACGGTGCGTGTAAGAAGTTCGCGATCCGTTCTCGAATATTTACGAAAATTAAACATGCTGTGGTTCACTTTAAATTTTGTCGTTTTCTTCGTGGGATGATCATAATTGATTATTTAAAAACCTATTACATTAAATAGACGCGATTATAAATCAATTGCATTCTTTTACTATAGTACAATCAAGATACAGATCTTATTTGTCACTCCTGTCGATTCTTAAGACTAAAAAATAATTGATTAATTATTTGAGAGAGAGAGAGAGAGAGAGAGAGAATAATCGATTATTAATCTATCATATCCATTTCTCTTTCTTTTCGTGATCTTACCGTTCTTAGAACAAAAAAAAAACTTGTAAAGATCGAACTACTTACAAACAACAACCGATCAAAAAATTATAACCAATCACGAATTACTTATTAACCGTTTGCAAACTGCTCAGGAATAAATGTTCGATCAGAAATAAAACAATTCGCGATCTATTCACAGACTGTTCGCCAATTCCACTGAAAACGCATCTTCTATATGTCTGATACCTCATCAACACTTGACATGTCAGTCGCACATATGGCACTAGATTACAAGTTACACATAACGCTGTGTTGTTTTAATTTGGAGGCAATCTTATCTTATCTTTTTTTATATAAACGACCACTTGATTTTTTTACACCACATTTAAAATTATTATAACATTTTGGCAGGTTGAACTTGATATTTTATATTTGATATTTTTTTTAGTACGTAAGTAGTAAAAGATCAATCAGTGGTTAACAAATACTGTAAAAAATATCGTTCAAGACTCGTGTATTTCGCGGAAGTGTCTCATTTGACCACGTTGCGATTGATCATTCACAACGATCGATGCCTAGAGTTTTCCATGATTTGTACGGAGTTTCATCCGTAATTCACAAGCATTAATGTGTATTTGATAAAATTTTTCGTGATACGATATCTATTACCTGGTAACACCGACATCGATCATATAACATGATATTTATTTGCATATATCTTCGACATCGAGTGATGGCATCTTGACGATCACGATACCTTTGAAGACATATCAAAAGGTGATCCAGATCGAGCAGAGCAGACAATCGGCCGTTTCTTCTAATAATACGAGACAGATTCGTCCGGAACAGATTGGCACGGAACAGATTGATAATAGACAAGCTGATGCAGGATTTGTTGGTGCAGGACAAGCTGAAGTGCAACAGGTTGACGCGAGTTCTGCTAACATGGGACAGGCTGATCATGTGGGACAGGTTGGCATGGGACAGGCTGACGTTGGGAAAGCTGACGGAAAAAAGCTTGGTGAAAAATGAAATTATTCAGGAATAAATCATAACGACTTAGGCACACGAGGCAAGATTAAAATCTAAGAAACGATAGATTAAGTTATGGATTCTTTTTCTTTTTTTATCTGATACGTAATTTTATATTTTGCATTATCTTTTATAAAATTATGTTCCTCACTGCTTACACTTGCACTTACTTTTACAAGATTACATTCTTTGGTGCTGGCTACAATATATTTTTATATTATAGTTACATATATATATAAATTTTTTTTCCTTATTCAATGTGTTATTGAGATGTTTTGTGCCATAATAATCTATCCTTGAAAGAAATATTTTTGTGATCTTACATTGATAATAAAATAAAAAGATTTTTACATTACAAAACACTGGTTCAATATTATATTATTTCCTTCATTTCAGTTATGTTCGTTATAATGTTTATGTTATATTTGAATTGAACATAATTGTGTTTGAATATAATAGAAATTGTATTTTTTTATTTAAGTATGAAAAATATATACGTATGTTCGTAATGGAGACAATTAACATAAATATAATTTTTTGTCAAAATTAAAGTTTTACGCATATATTATTATCATTTTGTAATATCTCATAATTAATTTATTTTAAAAGATAAAAAATCTGTAGAATAAAGCGTTTTGAGGAAAACTAGATTAGAACATAATAAATTTTTAGAATTCTAGGAATTATGGCGAAACATAATGCGCTTGAAATTTTCGTGTTTCTTTTTTAATGACACATACCCCAAAAAATTTCTATAATTTTAATAAATTTTATATTACAAATTAATTTTCTGCATTTTTAATATAGTAGGTAAATAATATCTAAACAAAGAACTGTCCATTTATTCCTTTCTCTAAAATAATTCGCAAATTTTGCTTTTAACTTGACCATTTGATTACAAATAGTATCTTATCCTTTCTTTAACTTTGGCAATTAATGTATCAATATTACTGAAAATAATATTCATTATCAATATTCTTATCTGCAGAATGTATTGCCAAGGAACATAAATATGTTTGAATGTACGTTATATAATTATTTCTGCTGATACACATTTCGAAAAATCCTTGATTATTCTTCAACACATATGTTCATGATACATAAGCAACAGTAAACATATAGAAAAAAAATTAATATATTTTAGAATTCATTTTAGCATGAATAATTTTATCTACGGTTTTTTTCATTCAAAGAAAATTATTCCAAGAAAACGAGTATTGCATATATTTGAAAACAAAAAATTATTCGGATATTAAAGTTTATTAAATTTGTTTAATTTACGGTGTTGAAATAGAATAACGCGTTTTTTTTCAAATGATGTATTGGAACTACTAAAATAAATGTACATATAATGATATAAGTGACTTTATTAACATGTAAAAAAATGAGGAAATTAGTAAATTGTAAATTTAGTGGAATGATAAAATAGCAATATGTAATAAAAAGAAATAAGTTTATATTTAGTAAATAATCAGTCTTAGAGTACATATCAACTTTACAATAATTTTCAGTATCTCAGATAAAATAGAACTTTGTAATTCTTTGACATCTCTAAAAAATTTCGTAAGTTTTTATCTAACTAGTAAATAGTTTTTAAGTAAAACGAAAAGATAGCCCTTCCTATTATGAACAGTCCATAAACGAAAAGGACAGAGATTTAGACAGAGACACTGTCCAACTGCACACACCATGTCATCTCTTCCATCATGCTACTGGGTCTTAACAACTAATTAAGAAAAGAATAACTTTAGTGTTCACCGTATCTGGATTCACATTATTGCAAAAATTCCCTATTTATATCATACTTACTTATCTTCATGCTTATCCTCATGCTTATTCGTAACGACATGGTCTATACATTTCGTCGATGCGGAGGCAGCGGAGGTACGTGTGGACTCTCTCTGTTGTTCCGTCAGTATGGTGAACAAGTCCTTGAGTATGACCATGTTGCGCTCCTGCTGCAACTTCAGGCAATTGGTGATAACTGAAAACAACTGATGTTTCGGTCGCCGAAGTTCCACTTCCGGGGAGAGGCCTTCGTTCTGAAGAATGCGGCGTATCATCTGATTGTCTTCTTCAAATAATGGCTTGGACGGCTGAGACATTTCACAGGATTTCTCTCGCTGACAATAATTTGCGACACGCTTCAAGTAGATTACGATTTGATTCCTAAAATTGCGAATATTTTGCGAATTAAGTCGCTTGTTAAAGCTATTACGGCTTACGGCTCTATATTAATATACTTATATGCAGGATTGGGTAGTAACTAGTTAAAACGTTAACAAAAAGTTAAAAGAAACAGTTAAAAAGTTAATAGCTTTTAACTTAACTTAATTAATTTTAAATGCATTAATTTTTAATTTAATTTAGTTATTTTTAAACTTTAATTTACTAACTTTTCTTAAATTAAAAAATTTTTCTACCTTTCTTAATGCTAATATTTTTTTTTATAAAGTCTTAATTATTAGAGAATTAATTTAGAAAAAGTTCAATGATTTTATGATGAGAAACTATAATAAGAGTCACACCATACGGTAGCCAGTTTTTATTGGCTGGCTAGGTTTTGTCACTTCCCGTTTATATTTGAATCACACTTATTTTAGGTATCATAAATGTTATATTTCAGTAACATAAATATGAAATGAGCCTTAGATGAAGAATTGTTGTAGACAGTACTGCATATCCACCCATTTTCTAAATTTTTACATTTGTCTTTATAACAAATATATCTAATCGATGTAGTCGTAAACATGCATAAGTCGTTTTGAGAAGTTAAAGAAAGTTAAATAAAGGTTAAAGAAAGAGAAATAATACAAACATGTACCCTTCTCTCTTGCAAGATTTTATGAAAACGCCTTATAGTGTGACTTTTATTATATATAAGTAACTTTCGTGTAAATATAAAATTAAATTTACCTAATAATCTATATATATTTGTAAGTGTTATTTGAAGTAATCTCATTATAAGAAAAATTAGGACATTCTGATCTCAAAAATAATTTTTTTTAAATTAACTTTTTTTTGAACTTAAGTTAATTCAATCTTAACTTAATTTTTACTAACAAGGAAAACAGGATCAGGGATTTCGATGCGCTTTATACAGGCTGTTCTTGAGTGAAAAAAAAACGATACGTGTCCGGCCGTTTCAGCCATTGGCCTATAGTTTCGAAGAAATCGATTTTTTAAATAATTATTGTAATAATTTGAAAAACGTACTGTGTATAAATAAAAATATCAGTATCTTTATAAATTTCATTTAATGCTATTAGTTTTAATTATTTTTTGATTGTAATGAAATTTCATGAAATTACATATTAGTATTATAAATAATTAAATACATATTTATGGAATATTTATTATTATCGTATTCGTTATCTTCGTCGTTGTTATTCACATAAACGCATAAATAAAATTGTAATAAAAATTGTTACGATTTCTGATGAAATTAGAAATTGGAAATTATTACCACCGACGAAATATTATTAAAGACCGTCAACCCTGGGCAAATTTTCGGCGGTATAAAAAGGGCCCCAAGGGCCCGGAGGTAATTCAAGAACGCTGACATTACCGACAATTGATAAATTTGCTATTATTAACATAAATATTTGGCTCATGCATTATTAAATTCATGATTTTTTATTACATAAATATCCCATAAATAAATATACATACTTGTAAAGCTCTAATATCCTATATATTGCAAAAAAATCACAATTTTTTCTCTACAATTATCATCTTTATTGATAATCAAACTTGATGATAACACTGAAATCTCAATTTTAAAGAAAAATCGAGTATTATTGAGTTATAAATGCATAAATACATCTATATATTAAACTAATAAATCATAAAATTAGTACAATATTATCAGTTTTTAACTCTTAATCACTTCAATATTCACAAGGACGCAAACTCCCGTAAGGATTTCGGTCTTTAATAGTATCTCGTCGGCGATAATACCAATGTGTAATTTCATGAAATTTCATTACAATCAAAAAAAGTAATTAAAATAACATTAAATTAAAATTAAATTTATAAAGATACTGATATTTTCTTTTATACAGTACGATTTTCAAATTACTACAATAATTATTTTAAAAATCGATTTCTTCGAAACTATATGGACCAAACTATGGCTGAAACGGCCGGACACGTGTCGATTTTTTTTTTTCGCTCAAGAACAGCCTGTAAAAAGCGCATAAAAATCACCGACCCCGTCACCTGGTGTTTCCCTTGTAAGTTAATTCTTTATTTCTTCAACTTTTAACTTAATTTTATTAATTTGATAAACCATTAACTTTAACTTAATTTAGTTTAAAAAGAAAACATTAACTTACCCAACCCTGCTGATATGTGATATTAACTATTTACTTTACTGATATTTACTGTGATAATGTACATGCACTGATCTCATGTGTTGCGTAGCCGGTGTAATGTATACACGTGTATACAGCATGAATCGAGTGTCGAGAACTTTTGATCTTTCAAACTTTCAAGATGAGCACGAGCGAAATGTTTCGTATATCGTGTTCTAACATGTTCTAATGCAGGCCTGGAGTCGAATTTTATGTTTCGACCAATTTTGCCTATCATCATCCCTACTTCTTTTTGTTTCATAGCATTTAGAGCCTGCGCACAATGAAAAGAATAGCCCAGTGAGAAATGACGATAAAATCGATATGGAATCGATTCGATGTCGATTCCATTATCATTTCTCACTGGGAAGGAACAGGGAACAGAGAACAAGAATTTCAAGGATTTCAAGCTATCAGAAACTGTATATTCCACAATACATGATTTTTGAAGATTGAAATTCTTAGGGGCTCCGCACAATAAAAGGAACAGGGAACAGAGAACAGAGAATAAGAATTTCAATCTATCAGAAATCATGTATTGTGGAATACGCAGTGTGTATTTCCACAATACATGATTTCTGATAGGTTGAAATTCTTATTCTCTGTTCCTGTTCTCTGTTCCCTGTTCCTTTTATTGTACGGAGCCCCTTATTCTCTCTGTTCCTTATTCCTTTCATTGTGCACAGCCCCGTAGGCGTCGTCTACAATACACGGAGTAAAAAGTAAAAGTAAGAAATTGACCAATCACAGTCGAGTATTCTTCTCACATTTGACTGTGACTGGTCAATTTCTTAAGGCCCGTCTACAATACATGGAGTAAGAAGTAAGAGTAAGAAATTGACC